CGGCTGCCCAACAGGGACGATCTGCAGTGCATTGCCGACATGGGCCGATGGATGAACGACCTCAAGTCGGGCCGCCTTTGGTCCATGAAAAGTATGTAACAAATTATTGCATTGAATTCAAAATAAATCATCTTTCCCTCTTATGGGATAGTGATCGATTCCTGGGGCTCTTTACCTTCGGGCATACTCTATTTCAATTTTCTGGACATGGGCAACTATGGAGAATGCATCAAGGTCAACAAGGAAGTGAGCAGTGGTCCTTCGATCAAGGGCAAATATTGCTTTGCCGAGATACCCATTCTAAAGATGCTTGGAATTCCTGTCAACAGGAACCTAAAGATTGGCATTTGCTTTCCGTCCAGCTGTTCGGCGGCGCAGATGGGCGTATTTCTCGGTAAGGTCATTCAGCAAGTGATTGGATTGACTAGCCCAATAAGCTTGGTGAACGAAAAAAGTTGTCGCACCAATGAACGGGAACCATTGAATGGCATTGCTATCTTGACTATGTAAGTGGAGGACCTCTGCCTTGAATAACCCATATCACTAATTCCCTGGCCCTTCACAGTGTTCTCCTATCCATATTTGCTGCCTTGGCCCTGCTGGCCACCTTATATGATTATTTCCTAGTGTCGGATCAAGGTGAGTAACTCTTAAAGATCTTCCAGTCAGATTCTTCAAATTCCACTTGCAGCGAAATTTCCCGCTCACTCTTCCGCATTACCTTACCTTCTTCTCTTAACTAAATTTATATTGTCTGATTTTCTAGTGGGTCAAAGGCCCTTTTCCCAGATCATAGTACATGCCGAATTCGCTGTGGACACCTTCTTCCTCTTGAGTGGCATGCTCGTGGTTATGGTTACACTGCGTGCTATGGAGAGGTGAGTCCCTTCTAACTTACTCCCACACTTATTTTCTACAAAAAGGGATTGATTTCAGATCGAAGGGCAAACTGAATATCCCCCTGATGTATCTGCATCGCTATCTACGTCTCACTCCACTGCTAGCTATGACCATATTGGTCTATATGAAACTGTTGCCTCTCATGGTAGATGGTCCTTTGGACAATGATGGCTATGATGACGCCGTCAAGCGCATTGGTTCTGGACGCTGCTCTACTTACAAAACTATGCCACCGAGGAAATTGTAAGTGGCTGTTAGGGTTAACATGCATGTCAAATTCTATAACCTTTCGCCTTTCTTTAGTGCTTGTGAGGCAGCTGGTATCTGAGCGTGGATATGCAGATGTACATACTCTCGCCCCTATTGCTCTTTGCACTCTACAAGTGGGGCAAGAAGGCAGCCATTGGCACCGTGATTCTTATTGTGCTGCTAACTGTATATCTCTTTACTATCATGATGATAAAGAAACATTCTGTGTTCTTTAAGTACGTGTCCTATGCAAATTTACCTTTCTTTTCCACTTTATTTGCATCCTTACTTTTCCTATAGAAATCAAGATGGTTCGCATCGTCTGCTATATTTTTATACCCATACTCATGCGGCTCCTTGGCTTATTGGCGCCGTCTGGATCGGCCGGGATCTGTCGACACTATCCGATTCGCTCTACTACTCCCTGACGCGCGTTCATCGAAGAGCTCAATGCCAGACGATATCAGTCGAATACGTATTTCTCCAACTACGAAATGGCAGCTAACATCAGCTTCACTTCAAATTTCAGCTATTTAAGGAAGCTTTCCCTTCTCTTTCCTTGGTAGATGCTCAAATTCTGGCGGGACTTTGGCTTTACTATGCTCCTATGGCCTGGAGGGCCTGCTACTACCCAATCGTAGACCGAGTCGCAAGTCCCAGAATGTCCCAGAATGTCGAATCAGCTCCAGATGCCCCCTCCAATGCTCCGGCTGCGAAAACATAACACTTCGCTATATAGATTATCTTTGTTTTTGTTATTTATTGTTTTTTACTTATTTAGGCGGAAATAAATGAACGTCTTCTTGGTAATTTCAATGAACTTGTTAATCGAAGAGTCACTCTGAAGTGGATCTACAAAAGCCTTGTAGCAAGCCTTCAAAGTAATTTCTAAGGCCCTCGATGTCAAATAACCATGAATCAGTTGCGATTAATCGATTATTGGATACTCAACGCCTCATTTGATAAGGTGCCTGGCTACTACCATAGGGTGTCGATTTCACACGAAGTCTGAGTATTCCATTTTATTTATGGCGTTATCTACGCAGAACCAAAAACAAACCGACATGCTTATCACCATTAGATTTTACAACTCCTTCCTAGGGTATACGACGACTATGTAAAGACATAACATAATCAGTTAAATAGTCAAATGATCTATGTAAATCCTGCATAGGTTTGAAAATCCTAGACTGTTTGCTGATCTATTCTACATCCAAGGGACTAAGGATTTTTTGATTCTAATGTTATTTAGTGTATGGAGTAGATCAAATCCTAACTAGCTTGGAGTTTTTTGAACTACTTTATCTATGAGTTGGATCCGGGTATTCAAGCATGATTCCACAGATCGCTAGAGAAACGAGTAATTCCTAAAAGTATACCTCTTTTAATTCAATAGAAATATCTCATCTATGTCCTATATTTTTCACACAAATACCTATTTTGTAGCGTATTCACAAAAGATTGTATAACACTCGTAAACCTGAAGTACGGAAACATGTTGACAAAAATAAACCACGCACGCTTCTAATATAGAATTCTGCGGAATACGAAACTGCCTGAGCTTTACTATATATCTACGCTAAGATCAGTTAAATATTTGCAGCCTGATTTAATTGAATATAAAAAAATTCCATTATATGGTCTAAAAACAAATTGGTTTGATAACGAATGACTGACTAAGCGTTATCGGAAGTATATGTAGGCCTTTGATAAGGGGTATTCCTGCGAGATGACAGTAGAGCTGTATTGATTTCGAAACATTTAAAAATTTACTGATACTTATTAATTTGTATAAGTTATTTATTTTATTATTTGATTTGCTCATATACGGGTTTGTTATATTATACCTAATATTTCTCATTTTTTTCAGAACTGCGAACTAGTTCAAATTTAATACAAATGTAGAGAAAAAAAATTGTAAATGCTTAAATATCACAATTATTATACTGCAGATGTATAAATGTCTTAAATAAATAATATACAAGTATTCAAGCTTAACTACTTTTATATACATAAGAAGTAAAGGCCTAACTAATCGGAACTGCTTTCTGCTCGATTACTGGAGCACTCTCCATGATCGCAGGCTCCACTTGTACATTCGCAATCTTTGGATCTACCGAAGTAGCTTCTGGCTTCGGACTGGGACGACGAGTGGGCAGCAGCAACATCTCCAGGCCAGCAAACGGCGCCTCGAACAGAATGTACATAAAATAGGACATCAGAACCGTAAAGCCAAAGTCATGCCAGAAGCGCAGCATCTGGGAAGATATCGAGATATGCATATATATAGTAATAATCGGCCAATATATACATATGTATACGTACCACTTGATAGTTGCTGAAGTAGCTGCTGGTTCGTGTGATGCCCAGATTGTGAATCGCAATGAATATATGCCAGATGTAGGCGGAGTAGGAGAGCTTCGACAGGGGCTGCCACAGCGGGGAGGAGAGGAAACTGTTGGCCAAGCCGCCGTAGCCGTATTTGCAGGCAAATACCAGCCAGACCAGGGCCAGGGGCCAGGCGACGCGCGTCAGCGTCACATAGAACGCTTCGCTCACAATGGGCACATGAGAGACGTTCGCTTGATAGGGATAGAGGGCGAACATGCAGGTGAATATGAGCGCCAAGCAGATTAGCCAACCCAGCCAAACAGCTAGGCGGCTCAGCTTAAATGTCTTGGTGCGATTCACATGCAGATAGTAGCCAAAAAGCAGGCCAATTAGCCAGGGCGAGGTGCGCGTGTGGGTGGTGTAATAGATCTTTTTTAGTCCATTATTAATCCTGGATCTGTAAAGAGAGCAGATCATATCAAATATGTAGTCCAAATTTGGGAGAGCTGGCAACGCTCTAGCAAAGTGACAGCATGATCTGTTGACAGCTCCTGGATGAGCAACTTTTTCTGCTAACAGCCAGTCAAGTGCTTAGCATACACATTGAGAGGTAACAAGTAAGAAAGCTCTAGTCGAGACTGCTCGACTACGAGATCCCCTGAACCCTTGGAGTGCTAGCTATTTCAATAATTTTTCGCGTCTTTCAGCTTACACAAGAAACACACACACATACACAAACACATACACA